GGTGACTTTGACAGGAAGCCAGTGTTGAGTGTGCTAAGAACTACACACTGTTCATCCCTACCCGTGAGCAGTGAATCATTCTCCGGCTTAACCCTTGCAAAGCAGAGTATTGTATGCGGCATTGTGTGGGTGGTGTCCAGAATACTTAAGCTTTAGGTAGTCTGAATTGAGGTATATATGTAAAACAGACTTTGGGTTTTGAAAAATTGGTACTGAAAGATTATTAGTAATTTTAAAAATGAGAGTGTTTTAAATTATCAGATTATTTTACTATTTTCTTTCACTTTTCATGTAGATTATAGAGAATCTGAAATTATACAGTTGGCTTCTACTCTTCTTCTTCTGGCCGATTGGATGGGAACCGCCCTCAGAGGAGATGCGCCTGTGTTTCCCTCCTGCTTTGGCTGCACAGAGCTACAAGGCTTTGGGCGTCCACTTACCTTCTCCGGGTCTCAGTTTGATCATTGATGAGGATGGAAGTATTGTCTTATTTCAGAGTAATTTAGAAATACAGGTAACATAGCCAAGTATCTGACACATGTTCAGAACCTGATATTATTGCCCTGAGAAGAGGTGCAGAGTCTTTGCCCCCTTCGCGTGGTGCTGTATGGGGTCATTTGTCTCTTGAACTCCATGTTGTCAGCAGAAAAAGCGGTGCCTTTGGATTAGGGCATGAGGAGAAAGTATGGATAAAGAACAGTAGCAGCCTCAGTGCCTCAATCTATTCTGCTTCATAATGTTGGACTAAGTCCTATGTGTACTTTGATTTCCACCCCTCAGCATACCTTCAAGACCATAACAATCATTTTCAGAATTCCTCCATTTCTATACTGAGCTCCTTGGCACAGAGCCATCTGTGGCTCGGGGTTCTTGGGCAGAGGACATGCCTTGATGTTCATACTCTTCGCCTTTACTGATCTCTAGGAACTGACCTGGCAGCTGCAACTAAACTATGTCAGGCCTGTTTAGATCGCCCTAAGTGAAGTACATCACCAGTGCTACCTAAGAGACAGCAACACTCAGGAAGAAAGACTTTAGGGTCCTATACATAAGTATCAATATGCTTTCTTTGTTGTGTATAAAAATGTTGTCCTTAGTCTTTTCTATTATTTTTTCTCTCCTTTCTATGAATTCCTGCCAGTGAGATTTGTCATATGATTATCTGAACTCCATTTCTTTAGGTTATTAGAGTATATTTTAGTAAAGCATATTAGAAGCTACAGTATATCGTTGTTCAAGGTTCTCAAAAGTCTTCTTGAAGATTCTCTTTAACTAATATGTTACTTTGGTCAAGAGAATAAAATTAAACATTTTTATCTAATTTTAATTGCAGCAACTTTAAGACAATTCACGCTATGGAATGCCAAGCAATCCCTTTACCAAGGTCATTATTTAGGGGGATGGCTTACTCTGATTGGCCCATTCATTTATATGCTGTCCTTTGAATAGCTCTGTAAATTATGCCAAGTTTGATTGTGTGTGTATGTGTTGCAAAAAAATGTGAGATGCACATTTTAAAATAACCTACTGCATAACAGAAAAGGTGATAGGAATCAAGTTTTTTTCATCTGCTGTGTGATATTCTGGAGACTTCATTACTTTCAGCCATGAACTTTATGTCTGAATTGCATTTTTCCCTAATTGATTTATGCATCAGTTGTCTCGTAAGTTTATCACAATCTTTAGGAGACAGATACCATTCATTTACAAACATTGGCTGAGAGTCTGACCGGTAACGGGGATACAAAGGGGAGCAAAGAGGGATTCTGGCCTCAACTTTGACAGGCACATGTGTATGCAAATAGCTGCAGGACAGCCACGTGTACTACAGATGAAGTGTCAGGGAGCAAGCAGTACGGAAATGTTAATTTCCTACAGTGAAGTTTAGGGATGGAGAAGCAAGTCAAAAAAGACTGTAAAACAAAGACTGCCACAGTGTGGAGTGTGAAAGGCTGAATGAACATTTGCCGATAAATTTGAAGACTTTAGAAGAAGAAGAAAAAGCTAATATATACCAGGAGTTATGAAAAACTACATGTGTATAACACGTTGCCTGGCTAACATTACGGATTTTCTAAGGAGAGGAGGGAAATAATCAGGTTTATGTACTAGAAAAGTACATCTGGTCGGAAGGTGAATAGGAGGAGGACAGACGAGACCAGTCCCGGGGGGGGGGGAGACGCTGCTGATATTAGAGACATGGTAGTTTAAAGGATAAAGCACAGACAAAGGGAAGTAGCTTTAGGAAATAGCAAAGAATTAGAACTGACAAACTAAAAAACAAATTGGGTGCAGAAGAAATAGTTAAGACAGCTCTAAGAATTTTCATTTCAGGTTGTTAGGAAATCAGTGCTAGCATACATTCAATGTGTTGCATATGAAGAAAATCAGTTCTGGAAATGGGACAGTGCTCTGTCCTTAGTGTTGAAACATTGAATTTTAAGGTACTTTGGAGATACACATGTTCAACTATCCAAAAGGTGAAGTGATGAGGAATGACCTGGAGATGACTCACACGGTACACATGGGGGTTGACGGTGTGTGAGTGTAAGAGCTGAAGGGAATTAGAAAAGGGAAATAAAGACAATTCCAGGGAACACAATGCAAGTGTCTGTCAGGGAAGTAGAGAAGGAAAACTAACTACTCAAGAGAAGTGAGGAGGTGTCAGAGAAAAGTGAAGAAGCCACTAAATAACTCAAGTATCTCAATAAAATCACCTAGGAAAAAGGAAGTAAATAAAGCATGGGCAACTAGGTTAAAAGCCACTGAAGTAGCTAATAAAAAATATATAAACCAGCTGCCATATTTGGCAGCTGATGTTGATACATCTGTTCAGGCCTAATTTAGAGAAGTGCGGTGAGACCGGGATCATTGCCTGCTTGTGACTGTTGTCCACAGCAACTAGCGGCCCTCATCCCAGAGTGACGCGGAACGCAGCTCTCCCCCAGAGTGCCACCGGCCTTCCCCGAGTGGCCAAGCTCCAGACTGACACCCATACGTGTGACAAACGCTCTTCTGATCTGAGGACATAGCCAAAAAATGTGGAGATTGTAGTTATACGTTAAGAACATAGCCATGCATTATGGAAGATGCTATCCTAAAAAGAAAAATAAATATGTACATATAATATTATATACATGTATTTTGTGATGTATTATATGAATATAATATACTGTCTACAATAAATATTGTAAATATATAAATATGTATCACCCATAAGACATGATTATGCAGCTAGACTGTCCTCATATCAGTTACAATTATAAAAACATTATATTTGATTTGATGTGAAGTTTGAATCCCTTGAATCACTGAATTACTTCTTTAATTTCCCGGGCCTGGGGATTTAGCTCAGTGGCACAGCGCCTGCCCGGCAAGCCCAAGGTCATGAGTTTGATTCCCGGTACCGGAAAAAAAACAACAACAAAAAATTTTCCCTATTGGCTAGGGCTTCGTTGAAAATTATTAAGAGGTAATATGATGTCATAATGAAAAAAGTCAAACTAGGAGTCAAATTGCAGAAAGTAAAAAATGTAAGCTCGAAAATGAGGGATATTTAGTTCATTACTATTTTGAGAAACATAAGCAGTAAAAGAACACAAAAACAAGCACATTTGTGGAAAAGGGTATAAAGTCAGTAAGGAGGACAATTAATAAACTTCCGGTTAAGGTCAGAAGAAAATTGTGTTAAAACACTGGATGAAATAACCAGTTTTAGCTAGGAAGTGGTAAGCTGCCTGTTTTCCTGGGACAGACAGAGAAAGGAATATGTATAGCATGTATGTCTAAACCGAGGTTACAGGCAGTGAACCCTGCTATAAACCTTTCACAGTCATTTGTGAGAGAGATAAAGGTAGGGGACATAGTTTGAATCATCTTGACTGGGAAGAGATGGCAGATAGATAAAAAAATTAAAGAACTTGAGGGCACTGAGGAGAAAAATTACCAGTGAATTCTAGACTAAACGGAAGCTTGCCAAGGAAATTTCTATCTTGACACAATCAAAAGTGATATATAGTCCAAATTAGAATGTTAGTGGCTTACTGTCAATTTTTTAAATTTCAAATCTCTAATCTGCACATCCTGACCTAGGCACATGCAAGAAATATACAAGAACAAATGCTACAGCGGGGCTACAGTTGTTTCACTGGCTAGCATAATGTTTGTCCCAAATCCCTATGTAGTGTTTTACCCTTGTGAACTGGCAAGTGCAAGGTCCTGAGTTTAATTCCTGGTACAAAAAAAAATATATATATATATATATTTACCTCTTCTTTCATCATTTTGTCTTAGGGCTTTGCTTGGGACTCCTGAGCAGGGTTTGATGCATATTACTCCTGAGTCCCAGGTTGGTCTCTGTTTGGGCTCTACTGGTTATATGTAGAAAAGAAAGATCATAATAGCGAGAGAGCAACACTAAGAAAAAATGTCAAACTCTTTGTTCCTCTACCCCAAAATGTTACGTTTGATGAAATAACACCGTCGGCATCCGTGAGGGCTGCATTCTGTTGCTGACTCCCTTGAGACCCTGGGTAGGCTTCCACAGTAGATCGGAAGTTCCTCAGAGGTACAGGTGAAAGTGGGAGGAAAATAGGCGATTCAAGTCGGAAAGAAAAGCCGGGCGGGGAGTTCTTTGGAAGGAGAGGGAGTGCATGTGGCTATATCCCTGCTTACGTGAGTAGCAGGTGGGAGACTCCGGTGAACACACTTCTTTCCTGATTGGAAACGACCTTCCTGCAGACAAGCACGAAACAGGGGTATGATCCCGGGCTTTAGAATCCAGTACCTGGGATGCTTCTGGCGAGTCCAGCAGGTGGGCTACCAGAGGGGAACGGAGATGAAAACTGCCGGCGGAAAGGCCAGGGAAGTGGAGCGGAGGGCTGAGTGCGTGTGCTCGCTGTGGGATGGCCGAGGCTTGGACTTTTCCGCCATCACGTGCAGCACTTCACCCAGCACCAAGCATACAGTGAGCATTAAATAAATACTCTGAGCAGACTGTGTACATTTCAGAAAAATGTGTTACTTTTAATATCAATTATGTGAGCATGCAACATCGCTAAATACAAAAGTCATACAAGCTCACAAATGACTGCAGAGACTGCCACTTTTAATCAAAGAACAATTTAGGGCCTATTAAAACATCATAAACGACAGATCTTTCCCGCTTTCCCTTGACGACTATCCAGTTGCTCCTTAACATGACAGTTTCGCTCAGAAACTGCCATGCAGTTGCATTTCTTTACCCATTACTGTCTCTCTGAGGAGACGCAGCAGGACTGTTCCTCCTTCCAAATGGCTCAGTATCACAATATCTGAGAAGACTCATGTACAAGACAGGTAGAGCGGGCTTTGCTGGGGAGTGCCGTTATCGCCTAGAAAGTACAGGCTGTGCTTCTTGTATTGACTGGGAAAACAAGTCTATGAACTTTCAGGTAAATAGACAGTGGCCTGGGCTAATTACATGATAAAAGGTAAATTTGACAAGTTCACATGTCACAAATGGCTCAAAAACTGAAATTCACATATGTTAGGTAATTATGCGAAAAAGAGTAGCACAGAACATAAGCATCCGAACCGTGCTGAATTTACAGACCACGGCCAGAAATCTATCTTCCGGGAAGCATACCTTCCAAAATAAGAGATCATTGTTTTGAAGCACGCATTTTAGGTTCAGTTGCATGTGTGTCACACAGCTAACGCCGAACAAAGGCAATCAGCTTCTGGAACTCAGTTCCCTTCTCTGAAATGCGGCCAGCTCCATCTCTAGAAATTCTCTTTCAGGTAAACGTTCTCTGCAACTGGCTTTAACACGGCATGTGCTGTGGGACGCTGCTTTAAGACAGACAAACATGACTCAAATATTACTTTCATCACTTACAGGCCTTTGAGGCGTGGCAAAATTATGCCTTCTGTGTGAGATCATATACGTCACTCTGATCGTGTTGTCTGTGGAGGAAATGTGCAAATGTGCTGCACGTGAGGTGAAGTAGTTACCAGAGGAATAGTTACTTAGAAGATTCCGATGCCGACTGTCAAATCACTGCCTTATTTTCCTGTCATTTCCTTCTCTCCTTAAAATCAGCTCTGTATGCATTATTATCTTGCAGAAAAAGGGCATCAAAGCAAAATTTGAAAAATACTACATATTTTTGCTAAGGAAAATTTATAGGACGTGGAAGTTTTGGAAAGTCAGTTGGTATCTTCCCAGCGTGGGATGCCTCTGACTTTCAATACTGCAGACAAAGTAGCAGTGAGAGTCACACTAACTCAAAAGCTCCATATGACTTCACAATTTAGCACTAATTATATATTCAAAGACAAGCGTGGCACTACATGCATTAGTAACAGTGCATCACATCTGAATATAAACCTTCCACACACACTCAGCACTGGTTCTAAACTTCACAGAGTTACATGAAATCGGTTTGGAATTCCACGATTTTAAGGATGAAGAAAACTTAGATGCACAAGAAAGCTATCAAGATAGTAAGTGAAGTCAAGGCAAACCAATTCGGTGGGATGGATGCTTGAAACAGACTGTAAGAGATTGTCTAAAATAGCCCCAGGAACTTGTATTCGTAGGTGAGAGTCTATTAATGGGTGGGTTTAAATTTTTACTAGGCATTTTGGCCCACTGATAGGGTAGATAGGAAGAAAGAATCTAATATTTAATCAATTATCCTTTTGGTCTCAGAAAGACTCACACTGCTTTTTTTTTTTGGTGGTAACTTCTGATTTGGAATCAAATGAGACCCATGCTCTCATCCCGGATGATGAAAAGTACTTAAAGGTGATGTACACAACCCACCTTTCATCCTATCTGTAACTGCAGAGAAAGGCTGGGTTCCTGGCGTAACCACATAGATCACCTGGGACTATATCTGAGCCCTCCAGGACAGCTAAGTGGGCTCCTCATTGCAAAGACGTTTCCTGTTATCTGTTATTTGCCCAGTAATTCATAAACCACTGGTATATTACTGGTACCTTATTTATTACCACTGACAAATGATTTTGTGATACTGACCAGAGGGATTACACAGCTCACAGAAAGTTTCCATAAAAGAATCATGATGTCAAAACACAGCACAGGTCATCCACAGTATCAGTGAAAATTCTGTTAGCTTCTAATGGTGATAATTACAGTGCAGTTCACACTACTTATAGTAAAAGTTTACAAACATTACAAAGTGCATAATAACATTTGGGTCTGATAGGGCTGAAGAAAGACATGAAAAACCTGACATGAGGGCTTGGCTGTTGTGATTGGTGTCCACACGACTGCAGGGAGGTCACTTTTTCCACCCTTTTCATTTGGTGGAGGCAAGTTTTTCTCCCAATTTAAATAGTAGCATACAGCACTCTGGGAAATTTGATCACACAGAACAAAATATTTCCAGTTCTTAGGATGATCTTGGCTTTTCTTATCTACTGTCTCAATTCCCCCCTCCCATTTTCATACCTAACAATAAAAATAACAGATGGGAGAAATTTCCCACGTGGGCATGAAAGAAAATTGATTAAATTCCAGTCTGTAGAGAACCAAACAGACTGAATTTAAGTGATGTTCACATTAGTGGGTATTTTCAAATGTCTGTATAATAAAGCAAAGGAATCTTGATGAATCTGTTAGATTTAATTCATCAATATACAATGCTCAAGAGGAAAGATTACATTTTTAAAAAATGTGTTCTGTTCTGTGCACACCACCACACTATGAAGAAAAAAACAAGCAGCCCTTTAAAAAATGAGTGGTATAAAAATTCACAGTAATATACATCATTTTTGTTTTCAGTAAGCAATCAAAGAGGGGGGCAGTGCTGAGCATCTATATCGTATAGTACAAAACAGTGTAAGTAACACAGCGGTAACACACAGATACACAATGCTAAAAACAGTGCTCTCTGGATGGTTCTTTTACTGGGTAAATACTTGAGCCAGAGATATTTAAACTCTGGGGTTCAACCAACCCTTTGCAATTAGACACAATTAAATCCTCTGACATCGTAAGGGGCCAGATGCTACAGGAATCATCATCTAGGTCAGTGCTACTCGCTACAAGCATTTCATCACATGATCAAGTGAAAGGATCCATACAAAAATGACATCCAAACACAAGCCACATAGTTTCAACCATTGCTAATGACAGAGGTGGAGAAAAGTCTGTCTGCAGCCACAGCCTCTGCCTCCATTTTTAATATGATAATGAGCAGGCTCCCGTGATGCAGCACAGCCATTTTCTTTTTCCCCTTTTTGCTCATGGAAACACTCACTCCAGCAACGCCTGGAGATCTGACATGTCAGGTGTTGTTGAAGGTCAAAGCGGGGGGTTAGCTTTCAGACTTTGCTGCTTCCCCCTGGGCTTCCCCGCTTTGTTCGGTCGAATTTCGCTGTGCATCCTCTTTGCCTTCTGTTAGAGAAAATGAAAAAGAGGATAAAAGGAAAATAAAAAGGCTTAATTTCTCAATGCTCAGAATATCAATCTCAAAGTCTACAATCTTCATAGACATAAGTATATTTTCTTGGTAGCCAGTTCACCATCAGGAAAAACAGAAGTTTTTTAAAGCTTGGCATATTCTGTGAAGTTAAGACAGTATGACTCAAAAGCTAAGGAATATCTGAATTTTCAGGGTATCAGATGATCAGCTAAGCTTTTGATATATAGCTAGGAAATCTCATGGCCAAGTCATGGCATTTAAATAGTTTTACATGTTGCAGAAATTAGTAACATCTATAAGAAGGAACCAAAGGTAGGAGCATGTTTGCCTTTTAGTATCTTATTTGAAGAAATATTTAAAAAATACATTTTCTGTTCTTTCTAGCACTTGAAGATAACCCAGTTTATTTCTTAGAGGTTTTATTGGTTCAAATCAAAAGTAATAGTGGAAGAACAAAGGCCATTATGTTAGCTGGTCGGTCTCTTCTCCAGTAGGCACATGGCCCATGGTCTGTCTTTGAGAACACACACACAACTCCAGGAAAATCCCCCTCAGAAGTACACCCGCAGCAGCAGTCTTAGCCAGTGACCACAAATTCTGAAATTAGGCAATACTTTTATGCCACATTAGGTCACTTTATATGTGTAACCTGTAGGCAATTCTTGACTCAAAGATTAAAATATCTACATGAGTTATTTGATTCCTGAGCAACCAACATGGCTTGGTGGACAAAATATTTTGGAGTGTTGCAATAACATAAATTATATCCATATGTGCAAGTAGTTCATTATAATAATTCAGTGGATCAAGATAAGTACACTGGCCCATTTTCTGGACTGCCATGTTGAAAGAGAACTTACCCTTTATTCATAAAATACACACATAAAACATCTCACCATTTCTAATGATAGGAAGACTTTATGGAAATTTATGGACTGCTTTTATATAAAAATCATATTCCGTCCTAAAGCAGATATGACCTGGCATTATATATCCTTTCCCTACACTACTTTTTATTATTGGGTTAATGAAACAGCTTTCCAAAATGTGCAGATGGCACAAGTGTGAGCTGTGGAGATTAGCATGCAATAAGAACTCAATAAACAGGAGAAGCTCTTGGAAATCAAAGGAACGAAGTCAAATTAGGGCAGAGGTAAGTCAGTAGAATGCATAAGGATGCAAGCGATTGGGCAAACACCAGAGGAGGAACTCGCCTTCCACGGACGCAGAACTTTATAGGTTTCTGGGGCTCCTTCTTACGGTTTTGCATTTTGTCGTACACAAAGCTGTGTCTGAATTGATGGCTATTAGCAAATGACGGTAACATGGGCAGCAACGTTACTGAGTGAAAACTAAAGCAAAGTGGAAATAGGAATTATAAAGGATGTTTCTTAGTTCTCGGTGATGCTGTTTGCCATCCTACATTTGTCCTTTTCTGTATTTTAGATTTTCACACTTGATGGTTATTATTTGTAGTTCTTTGTATTTCAAACAATAACTCATCAATCCTTTTATAGTTTGCCCACTTTAGGATTTTATGATTTGAAAATGGAAAAACTGTACAAGGGCCTACAGAACCGCAGTTACCATGCAGCGATGACTAAAAGGGGAGATACTCAGGAGCGAGGCACAGTGGCGAAAGCCTGTGAGCTCGGCACTGTAGGAGGCTGAGGCAGGAGGGTCAGAAGTTTGAGCCCAGACTGGGCAACTTGCTGTTTAGCAAAACTCTGTCTCAAAATAAAAAAAATGAAAAGAGTGGTGGGGTTATAGTTTAACGCAAAGGCCCTGAGTTCAACCTGCTATACTGAAGGAAAAAAAAAATACTTGGAAGCATAAAAGTACTTGAGTTATTTTAAATTATGTAATTATAATATACTTAATACAGAGTATCAACTTGTTTTAGTTACTATATTTATTAACATAATTCATTATTTAAGTTATTAATAATAATTTTAATATGTTCTTTTGTATAAAAAACATTGAGGCTAACAATTCTCAATTTCTGGGAAAACAAAAATGGAGAAATGAAATTAAAAATGAAGAAATTATACCACTAATAGAAATAGTTTAGTAGGAAGGGTGGCTGAAATTGATGCAGATTGTTTAAAAAAGCATACTCATAATAAAAATAAAATGTAAATCATATAAAAGAAATGAGCAGATTCTCAGACACAGAGAAGATATATTCACTCATTCCATGATATAAAACTGGAATAATTTCCTTATTTCTTAGAAACGCTTTGGGAAGAAAATCTTGGTAGTAGTAGTAATAGAGAAACAATGAAACCTAAAATACACATAGGCTCGTATATCCCAAAGTGTTCATGGTGAAGTTTTATTGTTAATCTAAAATTGCAAAAAACCAATCTGTGTCCTACTGAGTAAAATTCTGACCTTTAGTGTTTCAGGTAATGTTGCTGAGCTATTCAATACACATATAATTGCAGTTTTCGCATACCCTGAAAGCGTGGTCAGAGAAATTCTAACAGTAAGGACATAGCGAATGCTGTGAAAGTAGTTAGAAGCCGATATGTGCCTTTTCATGTACACAGTCCTGTGGGTCTTTAACTGTGAAGTCTTTTTGCTTTAAGTGTTAGTGTCGCACAAGTGCTTTTAAGTGAACATCTTCCACTTTGATATTTTGAAAAGCTACAGAGGGCGGAACTACTGGGAGACTTATTCTAACACTTGGAAGTGAGGCTATTAAATATTTAACTACATCGAATTTTCCTTTGTGTTTCATTAACAAAGTCAAACTTCTAGATAAAGATTCAAGGTTCAGTAATACACATTTTCCATAAACTCATTTAATCATGAAAGGACAACCAAGAAGCCCTTTTACCTAAGCATTTCTAACAAACTCTTTTATTCCCATTCTCGATCAAACTGGTCCCAATAACCTTTTGTTTCTGAAATGATTCTTAGAATTGAGTTCCCTCAGATTCCTTGTTAATCTTGTTATAAATATCCATTGAATGTTAGTGTTGGACAATATATTATCACCAACATTGTTATATGTTTTACATAAGCAATTTCAGAGCTTTTACAGAGATTAGGATTGTTTAAAATACCAGGTGTCTTATAGATTGTATTAGTAAAATCAAATTAAGGACTCCATTTGAGCAGAAACCCTGTAGACAGAAATCACTGAAAGCAGACTAGGAATGATTAAGGAGGTAATTACAGACCTTCATGTTGCCCTAGAGAACTCTGTTAAGTTCCTTTCAAAGGTATTTTTGTGCCATAATACTATTTAGCACAATGCCGCACACCATGTCATATTTGTAGAGATGTGTCTCAGGTAACTCACCTGTCTTGTTGATATCAAGACCAGCTAATTTGAGGGCTAATTCATTGCTGTTCCCACTTGCAGAGGAAACCAGGATATCATGTATTGCATTTCTTCTACCTGTTCTTCCTGAAGCAATAAAATCTGCATATGTAGTTTCCACATCAGTCATTGCTAACAAATATCCACATAGCAGGGACTACAAAAGAGAGAAGAATCAAGAGGTCAATATAATGGTAGTTGGTGGTAAACATTTCAGAACGACACGAAACTATTGGTTCACAGTATGAATGTAAAGTAACTGTCTTGTTTACATATTCACAAAAGAAGTAGTGCTTTGCTTCCTAAGTATTTAGAACAAAGGTCAGGAAACCTTTTTTTGTGTGCAGGAACTGATAGTAAATTTTAGGTTTTGAGAATCACATGTTCTCTATCCCAACTGCTCAACTCTATCCTTAAAATGTAAAAAGAGCCATCACTAGTAAATTAAACAGAGGTAGTAAACCAGCTTTATTTGTAATACAGGCAGAAGGCCTCCATGCCATAGTTTTCTGACAACGGATTTAGATTATAAAAATGTGTTTCTCTCATGCCATTTCAGTCAGTATTGAACTCCAGAGAGAAGGAGTAGAGATCAGGTGAGGGGTAGGACAGAAGGGGACTAACATAAAGGTAAGAAGTAAGGAAATAGATCCTAAACATGTTAAAGAAATTGACAAAAATTCAGTCACTTTTTTATCATCATCGCATACCAGCAATTACAAGCACTGCCAGGGCTGAAATACTGCTTTGGTTCAAGACAGCTCCTCTGCGCTCTTTGGAAAGTCAAGGCTTGAGAAGAATAACCCTTGAGACTTAGTCTTTAAAATACAGTTTCTGAATTTCTAGAGTCAAAAATGGGTTTTCCCTAAGGAAACTGATGACACATACGATTGAAGACAGCTGTGGTTTGGGGACCGAACGGCCCCACAGGCCCACAGGTTGAAAGCCCAGTCTTCACCTTCGGGTCTAATGCGAGGTCTTGAGAAAGCGGGGCACAGTGGAAAGGAGGGAGGTCACCGTGGGAAGGAACCCCCCTGAAGGAGATACTGGACCCTGGGCCCTGTTCCTCCTCTCTCCTGGACCTCTTGGTCCCCATAAGGTGAGCAGCATCTTTCACAGCATGCTCCTGCCGCGGGGTCCGACCTGCCACAGGCCCAAAAGCAATGCAGCCAACTGGTCACCAACTGAAACCATGAAACAAAGCCAAGCGCTTCTCCTAGGAGTTGTTTCTCAGGTATCTGTCAGAGTGAAGTGCCTGGAATTTAGGTTCTGGTCCTTGCGCTACCAATATGTCTTGGAGTGAACTGAAGAAAAACACTTCACTTTAATGTTACTTTAAGTGAAAGTATAGAGAGAATTAACACTCAAAGTTTCCTAATTTCTAAACCCTGATTGTAGAAATTCCCTCCTCCGACCATAACCCACAGTGCTCTCTTTCCCTTCTCTCCCACCGATCCTGTCTTTAGTCCCTTTAACACTATATTTTAGTCTCCTCTAGATCCAGTGCAGTATGATTGAGTTGCTTACTAGTTCTCAGAGCCTCTTGCCGGCCCCAAGAAGAGACAAGACAAAAGTTCTTTTGAGGGCTAGGAATTGGCTCACTGGTAACGTTCACCTAGCACATACCAGGTCCTGGGTTCAATCCCAGTGCCACAACACACACACACACACACACACACACACACACACACACACACACACACCTTTCGTTTACCTTCATAATGACTTGCCTCCTTAGGCCTTAGCCCTGGGAAAACACTACCACGCACTTTCTCTGATTTCACTGCCAGTGTCTCGCTGTTACTGGGAAAAGTTGCAAAATTGTGCCAACTGGCTCAGCTAGAAATTTCTGACTATTATTAGTGTAGTCATGGTTGTGCAGAAATTCTGTTGATCACCTCTAGTTGACCCTTGCTTATGTTTTCCTCTGCGGGAGGGTCTCCAGCCCTGTGTGGCCCACGCACCTGACACCACCTGCCTTAAGAGAGGACACTGCATCTTCCTCCTCTGAGAAGATATAGGACTTTGCTCTCAGTTCTCTGAACATTTTTCTTTTCACAAACAACATTTCTCTGAATTTTTTCCTCTTCTGGATGAATTGGTATCTGTCTTTCAGAAGCATGCTGTAGATCGTACTTCCTTTAATCTCCAGAGCCATTAATATGACACAGCACGTCGGAGCACATTTGTATGACTCTCTTTCCCTTCAAACTCTTGCCTCACCACTTGCCAGGTAATGTTGGTTTCTTTCTCAACTTTCATTTTCTATTAGTAAATGTTTACAGTACGTAATAAGTACACTCCTCGTAGAGAGTCACTAAATGTGCATGAGTGTCTGAATCCTTTCCAGCCCCCTCCCTTCCCCGCTTCTCTCTTGGTCCCCTACCTTTTTACAAAATTCTATCTCCCTCCTTCCTATTATCTATCTTTTATTTTGCTCTTCATTTACAGTTGGCGTTTCTCACATCAGAGAAACTGTGTACCTCTACGCAATATTTAAGCTTGTTTGTCTGATTTATTTCACTTAACTTTATGGTCTCAAGGTGCATTCCTTTTCCTACAAATAACACCTTGATTTTTAATTGATGTTGCTCATATTTATTTTCTGTAAAACATGGGAAACCCTTACTACAGAACTACCACTGAGAACTTCTGTTTTTCTTCTGTTTCCGAAACCCTTACTATAGAACTACCACTGAGAACTTCTGTTTCCTATGTTTTCCCATCCGGTCTATCCAAAACGCTACAAGCAGTCACCTTTGGACCTTTCTCAGGAACCTCTGAACCCTAGCACGCAGCTTGTAGAACACACTGTAAGCATCTTAGCATCCCCTGTTCAGGCTTTCTAGGGTCTGATTAGGCACCACATTTTTTTTGTTTCGCTCCAGCTAGTTGCTCTCATGTTGTAGAAAAATGCACACTATTTTTTTTCCCAGAGCTTCCCTGATGCCTTGGCTGAAGTCTATTCATTTACCTGGAATGCTTTTCCGTAACAAACTTGCGTGCTGAAGTGAATCTGACTCCTAAATGCACCAGAAGAGCTATGCTCTGTTTTACCACGTTTCTCTGTCTTGCCAGCTAGCGCTCTACGGGCCCGATTTTTGTCTGTACAAGGTCCTTACGTTCTTAGCAGCAATCTGTCTCCCCCTATACAGACTGCAGGCTCTGGGAAGACAGGAACTGTGTTTTGTTAGTATTTTAGTCACACACAATTCCTCGCAGAATCCCTTGCAAATAATCAGTGATGATAAATGTATGCTGGCTAGAAATGCTGAGTGAGAAAGAAACACATCGATCACCTGCTACCAGCAGCAACAGAGAACTCCTGTTTCCGGATTATACTAAATTTTCAAATCCTGAGATATTATCAACTTAAATTTGAAAGTTTTTAAATTCAAAGATTCCAAGAATCAAATATTTGAAGTCATCTGCTCATCTTCACACAGTTAATTAAGTGCCTGGAACTTAGGTCTACAAAGCTCCAGCCTGTTCTTTCTACTCGACAAGCTGCTTCTGCAAAGTTTGGGGTAGTTTTGCTACACTACTAGTAATTCCATACTACTAGGTATAAAGATGTCTACATTATCTGCACCACTATTGTCCAACTCCATATTTAGTTTCCATGGTACTTGAAAGATTTAGTGTTGGACATACACATCCCCTGGGGAAATATATTGTGTAAATGTTTGAAGGGAGATGAAGTCAGAAGAATAAGTTCTTTTCAAAATAATTTTCACTGTCTCTTTTTATGGTCTTTCAAAGCATAGGTTTAAAATAAAGCACAATTATTATTATTATTTCCCATCTGGTAGCAATATTACGAATTAGAAAAATATTTTCACTTTTCAGATAAAGAAAATATACCTCAGAGATGTTTTCGTTTGTTGATTTTTTGTTTTTTTTTTTTATGTTTTGCTTTTTTGAGACAGGGTCTCGCTATGCAGTTCAGGCTGTTCTGAAACTCACTATGTAGACCAAGCTGGCCTCAAACTCAAGGTGATCCTCCTGCCTAAGCCTCCCAAGTCCTGGGATTATAGGCCTGTGCCACCACACCTAGCCCATCTTAAGAGATTTCAAGCAGCCACTAAATCATACACAAAACTATGGCTTAGAGATCTTTTTTGCAATAAAAGTTCTTGTTTTTTGTTGTTTTTTCCTATGCAGACCACAGTTATAATACATATACATGTGCAGGTTTTATCCAATTCACTTTGCCAATAATGAGTTTAGGGAGATTTGAAATATCAAGAAAGAAGCTAAGAAAAGGGATTACACGTCACGGAAGATACGAATTAAAGGAAGGTTTACTGTGTTGTAATTTATGTATCTGAGAATGTTAAAAGAGTCTCATGTTAATTCTACCTGTATGAGGGCAGCCAACAATTTACTTTGAAATTTCCTTTTGTGTGCTCCTAAGTAACGAGCACACACAGGGAGAAATGGGATCAGGAAAGATGAGATGGGGCCGTGCTGCCTGTAAAATGACCGTGCGGCTTCCATTTGGGTGGAGTAACAGGCAGAATGGACAACTGTACTATCTTATTCCTGAAAATGGTGGCTCCCTTTAAGCTCTTTTGAAATATATCTGTCATCCTGATGAGTACTCAATTCTGTACCTTTAAAGTCACTAGCAGTTCAGCTGTAGGCATCTAATTGCAACATCCATTATAATGATCATAACAATAACAGCTAATATGTTAAAAGTAGTATTTCATTTTTATTTATTTATTTTTTATTGTTTTTTTTTTGGGTTTTTCTGCGGTACTGGGAACCGAACTCACGACCTTGCGCTTGCCAGGCAGGCGCTTTTGCCGCTGAGCTAAATCCCCAGCCCCTATTTCATTTTTATTATGTTTGCTTTCTCCAGATGATATATTTTTTTCTGATCAGAGAACAACAGTTAACAAATAGTACGCACAAAATACTTAAGTGAAAGGAGGTATACACTTAGATTTTTCAACAAATTATATAGCTGCTATGTATTGTATGCATTTCTCCTTTTATTATTGCTTTTTTAGTTAATTCCTAGTAGGTGCTCAGAAATGGTTACCTTTCCATGCTCGGTGGCTGTGGTTTTCAGCCAGGCACTCAGACATGGGTCTATTTTGCAGTCCAACTAAAGATCCAGAAATATCTTTCACACCAAATATATCACTA